ATATATATATATAGAAAGACAGTAATAAAAACAGCTATGAGTTGTAAACATGCTAGAAGCAATATAATGTAACACGTGAAGAGATAAACTCTAAAACTCATTGACAATGCAGGCAGATGTATACTTCTACCTGGCCCAAGAAATTCAAGGAAATCTAACAATTAAATTATGGAAACACTCTGGTTTTTGGAGGGACCTTGAATGTTTATGTGACAATGGTGTCCATCTATATAATACGGATTCATTTGGGAAAGCGAGTGGTGGAAGATGTTTTGGAGAAATTTCAGGAGTGGGAATATACACACAGCAAGTAATTTAAGGCCAGTACTTAATGATTATTATTCCACACCGCGGGGAAGCATCACCAACAGTATTATGCTTATAGTATTGCAAAACGCAACCTATTTTGTTGCTCTGTTTAAGGCAATTTAGGTGTGCGTCCTTTGTGTGCGGCCCCATCATGTTGCGAAAAGGAACCATCGTACCGCTCTGTTTAAGGCAATTTGTTTACGCCTTTTGTAAGACGTTTTACAGCACCGCCGACCGCTACATGGGTGTATGCAAAGGGGGGGGGGGGGCGGCGGGAAAGTTGTACGCGACTCCCCCCCCCCCGCACAAAAACAATTTCAAAGGTCCATATTTTTTCCCAAAACATTTTTTTCTAGGGCCTTTTTCACAATGACATAAATTGAGTATTGATGCAAAGCAATGAGTCCAAAGACCTTGCCAATTGCCTGTCGTAATCTATCACAATTCCAGTAATTCTGAAACTGAGCCTGCCATCCAGTTTAAGCTGGTGGCGCTGTAATCAATTTTGCATTCCCTGACTGAAAAGATCCAGAAAATTATGACCCACCCAGAAAAATCCTGGATACACCCCTGCGCTAATGTTTATCGTGTTGCGAAATGCAATCGAATTTACCGCACTGTTTAAGGCGATTTATGTGTACGATTCTTGTAAGACGCTTTACAACATTACCGATGTTATGTTTATGGTTGTTTTGTGTTGCAAAGTGCAACAGATATATTCGCCCAGTTTGCGGAGATTTAACTGCACGATATCAGGAAGTTTCTACGTTTGCGCCAAGCCGTTATTATTACGATCCGTCTGATAAATTCTATCTTGCTGTACGCTCTCTTTTTAAATTATATTAACACCGGAAAGACGATGCCACTGAAAAGAACATCAAAGAGAGCAACCCCTTTTTTGGTTTCTTCCCTCGGTGTGATTCCAAAGTAAGATAAAACAAATTCAGAATTATCCACGACCTACCATTTACCACGAATCGGGGCGATATCGACGAAACGGTTAACGTCAATATTCCCGCGGAAGCATCTCAGGTTACATATGACTCAATCGACAACATCACTGACCTTGTCCTGACATTCGCTCGGAGTGGGGGAACTGACGGCAAAATCCGATATCGAGGACACGTTTCGTATTGTTCTAATATCTCCCAACGATTACTATTTCTTAGGCTTCGAATGGGATGGGAAATACTATTTTGACAACAGTTTCTCCACGCTCACGGCTTACGATCTACGGAATTAAAAACTGACAAAATTGCTATAGTATAGTATAAAAGGGAAACGACCCACCGATTTTATATGGCTCACATTGGATGCCCGAGCGGACATCACCATGTTGGATTGTTCCCTTTGTCATTTCAGTGGGAATCTTGGAAAGTACCCTCATGCTACACTCGGACGCTTCGGGTGACATTGGGGCTGTGGCAATTCTGGGCGTAGTTCCAGCCCATGGGCTGAGCGAAGCAGCTACAAAATTTCTAAACACTATACATTCTCCCAGCTCACAGAAGGCTTACAAGCGGAGCTGTGATTTTTTTTTTGTAGATAGGAAAAGAAAGGCCTGTTTTCCTAGTTTCGTCGGAACAATTGTGCAATTTTATTGACTACCTTTTCGAATACAGTATAATACACCTAAAACAATCTTCCCATATTTATGCAGTCAGGTTTTCCATAATATGGGAGGATTCCCTGATTCTATGACTACGTTCTTAGTAAGGAAATCGATTAGGGGCGTCCACTTGCTAGGTAAGACTCCATATACCCGGCTGCCCATAACATTAAACCTACTTAGGCGTTTGGTGGCCTCACTCAACCGTTAACGTGCATTCAACAAGGTTGCTGCTTTGCGCTTCTCTTTCCAATCATTTTTAAATTGGGCGAACTGTCCACAAAACCAGGATTTAACACCAAAGTGTTGCAACGGCCCGACGTGAATTTTACTGTCACGGGTCTTACGTTGACCCTAACCACACCAAAACTAAGGCAAGCTCCCATAACACTTGTGTTCAGGGCACAGGAAGCCAGTAGCCTTTGTCCGGTCATCAGTCTTTGAGATTATATACATTTATTTAAACATAAAACGGGAAACAACCCCTTACCCCGAAATTCATAGGCAACTGGCTCAACGAAGCAATTATGTTTATGGATCTACATCCCTCACGATACAAAGGCTATAGTTTCCGTATTGGAGCTGCGAAACATGCCGCCTCTCTAGGATTTTCATAAAACGCTATACTAGGCCTTGGCCGTGGGAACTGAATGCGGTCTGTGATTGCATTCGCATACAATCTTTTGAGATTTAATAAAAATAATGTACCACTTTTACGGTACGCCAACGCCAACCTCTACCCCTTCCCAAAGCATACCCTAAGGAAAATAATTTAATTTACCATCACAAAAATATAGGCCTATCACAGGTACACATAGTCTGTAGGTCGAGGTCGTGTTTGGAAGTAGTTGGCTGATGCCAGTCCTAGTTATTGATGTTATTAACTCCTTTCGCGGTATCATGGTTGGCAGAAGTTGTCTGAACCCTATATTAGCCCTGTATGTAAGTGTTAAAGATTAATTTTGTAATCTATATATGGTATCACCTTTGTTATGTACTTTTATACCATTCGCGTGACCGGAAGCATTTGGCTGACGTCATGCCTACGTGTTTTCATTAATTATTAAGTTGTCTGATGTACAGCCATAGCATTGTGAACAGAGGACCAATAGTTGCTGGGTGTGGGTGCCGAAACCATAGGGTTCTGTGAGGTTTTGGGCACCCTAAGCCTTCACCCAGGATAAATTTAGTCTTGTGGTTCAAGCTACAATTATGTTCACAATTTGTATGCGATACAACTTCCCAATGCATATGTTATATTACTTAAATTAGGCCTATATATTTCATTTTAACCTACTTTCAAACGTATTGTATTATTAGTTTAATTCGTCATTAAATACATTTTACATGGTGTCAATACCTTATTTGTAAATGTCTGCTTGTTTGCATCTCCGGTCCAAAAAAAAAGGAAGACATAAAGTGACGGATCTATGATTTAGAATGGGGTGAATAATGCGAGGTGCGAAGCACCCGGGGTGGGGGTGACGTGGTTTTGATAAGGGCGCAGATTGGTTTTGAAACCTCAGGGCCAAAATTTGGGAAAATAGTTGCTGGAAATGACATTCTTATATTATAATTCATCATCATCGATTTAATTAATAGCATAGAAAATAAAACCGAAATGTCTTTGAGGTATTTAATTTGTTTTACACACTTTTTCTCATACTTATACTCAAATTTTAATAAAGGCACGCGCACTCGAGTCGTGTATTATACATAATTCAGATGTTTGTGGGCAGAGATAATACGTTATATTTATATAGCGCTTAATGCCAACAAGGCCTCTAAGCGCTTCATATTACCGGTTGTACAGCGCTCTTTCGTTAAAACCTGGGTCATTTATGCAGTTCATTTCAACAATTTTCAGGCTTCTTCTTGACTTACGAAATTACATTGCGGATGAAAAATAAGGGGACGACCCCCCACCCTAAATATATGTGGGGGACTTGTCTGCACCCATAGGATTTGAAGGGACGTCCCCTTCCATTTGAGAGATTTTTTTGGAATTATTAGACGGCTAGATCGCTTACATGACATCTGAAAAGAGGTTACACTTAAAATAGAATGTGTATGTTTTATCACGGTAGCCTACTACAAGTAACATGTATACATGAGAAGCACACACACAAGACGAGTGCCTATTTTTTTTCACGGCCACCGAAGATGGGTGGCTAGCCACCCTATTCACTCCACCTAGATCCGCCACTGACATACAACATAATCAGGCCCGTAGCCAGGGGGCGGGGGGTTATGGTTCGGGCGAACCCCCCTTTTCTAGCGAACCCCTTTGAATTTTTGAATGAGTCCCACTCGGACGGAATGTCTGTTTTTAACTTACCCAGCATTAAATCAAAATTTAACACCTAATTTATTATTTGGTCACCCGTTTTTAAATTGTAGCCTGCGATACAAGCCTACATTCATAGAATATCTCAGCTTCAGAAGTTCGGAGATTTAAATTGAACGCGACTCCAGCAAACCATGACTTTAAGATGGCCCACATAAGGATGGCAAACATCGATTAAAAACCCGGCTGCCGTCTCAACTTTTACTGGCCTTTGGCTGAATGTTTGTAAGAAATGTACTAACCGGTAACGAAACCGGTCGCCGTCTACCTAGAGTAAATGGTGCCACCAAACGAAGCTAAAGTTTTGCGACTTAATCCACCAAATGCAGATAAAGTTTTGCAACTTAATCACCTGATTGTGGATTGTGTGGTTAGTAAATTCCATAGCCATACTGTCCATA